CAACTGCTTCCACGCCATCACTGACGGTGGCTTGAGAGCTTTCTTTTATGGAGAAGAGTGGCTGGACCCTATACCGTTGCAGCTACCACACTGCTAAGAAGTCATATGTACACCATTTCTCAGGCCTCCAGCAAGAGCTGACATGCTGCCCAAACTAGCCCAGATTCTAGCGCAAGGCAATGGATAACAATCTTCTGGCTTCAGTAACTGGCATCAAAGTGAGTGCGAGGCACTCGGAGTGGGAACTCACAAAGAAACTGGCCTGTGTTCATCTCCTTGTGAAAAGTAGTTCCAAGGGGGCAGAGGAAGGAAGGAAGTACCGGGAGCTGTTCCCACCCAGCCATCTCCCACAGAACCATTCTGAGGGTGTCCATTGTGTTCCCTGGTAATGGCAGGCCCATAGGAGCCAACCATAGCCATGGGGTGTGGGTAGCATTTGTTTCAACCTGTTCTCCTTAAGGGGTCAGGTCAAGGGGTCTCAGTGTTGCCCTCAGACTAATGGCACCAGCAAGGAATTAAGCCTACGGGGGGACTCTCTTGTCCCAGGCTACCTGGAGGTACAGATGGACCCCAACAACAAAGCTCTTTGTGGAGAAGGAGTTGATCTTGCTAGCTAAAGTGTTTGTTCCTGTCATGAGGACTACAGAAAAAAAAATTGCAAGAACATGCAAAGGCTTCCAAAGAAGAAAGCCCAGAGAATACCATGGAATATCCCCAAGTCTGAAGAGCACCAACTAAGCAACTTTCTTCCTCTTTTGCATTCCTCCCAACCACCGAGGGAACAGATGGCTAAGGCCCGAGCAAATTCCAGGTCTCATCTACAGCTGAACTCGGGCAAGAAGGATGGGGTCAAACCCAGCCTTAGTTTCACTCTCTGAAATGATAAACTATTGTTAATATTTTGATTCAGAGTGTATGGGTGTCTTGCCTGCATGCATGTCCACCATGTGCTTTGTGCTCACAAAGGCCAGAAGAGGGCATTAGATGTCTCTGGAACTGGGAGTTAGTGACAGCAATGAGCTACCTACCATGTCTCTTCTGTGCTCTTAGCTGCTACGCCATTTCTCCAGGCCATGACAAACTAGTTCTTAATTATGGACTCTTTCTGCGGCCCCAAATAACTGAATGACTGCCTGTTATTCACTCATGCACAGAGAACGCTTCCACAGTCAAAAGAGTTCTGCAGGGCAGACATTCGCCCTTGGGGACTGTCTGAATATCTTAAAAAGGGAAATGCCAGAGGCTGGCTCAAGGGCCACTAAATCATAACTGCTAAGGTCAAGCTTCAGGAACACACGCCAAACTGAAGTAAGGCAAAAAATACTGCTTGGAAGTCCCCAGCTGACTCAAATGCACAGCAAGACCACTGTGCTGGGAGCCAAGGACAGCTGCTCCTACAAGCTGATTTTACAGGGACAAAGAAAACCGAACATAAAATTAGCACAATTTCCAGAAGCTGCCCTCCTTGGTGTGCTGGGCAGACCAACACTGTGGCTCTCTTGATTTCATTCTGCAGCTAGAAGCTGCATCTTCCACTTTTAACAGAGGCCAAAACATCCTGATGTGGGTTCAGTTCTTAAAGGAAGTATCCAAAATGGCAGGGTGCAACGCCCGGGACCGGGGGCAGTTCCTTCTCTCTTTCATGGACTAGCTCAGGTTTTCAGTAGCTAACTATCAGACGACAACTGTCACTCCACACCTCAGCCCAGGTCTCATCACCCTGTAGTCAGGTGCCATAGTGCGAAAACATTTTATGAAGCGCTTGCTTGGCTGGGTCTCTCTAGCACCAACCTCACACCCTCAGACCTTACACACGGCCTGAATGGCATAGCTGCTCCTCAGCCATGCCCCCCTCCTCCAGAGAAAGCACAGTGCCTGACAGCAGGCAATGGTTTCACCTGTCCAGAACTAGTGATACAAACTCATACTGTGCCCAGGCTGCCTGTCTAATGCAACTTTACAGGTTCATGGGGTGGAGAATTTTTGTTTTTCTTGATAGTTTGACTTCTTTCTAAATTCTTCATTTTCTGTCTTCTAAAACTTATCCCTAAGCAGAGCAAACATCGCCTAGAGAGCTAAGCTGAATGAGAGAGATATTCCAATGGGACACCAGGACCATCATTCTCACTTTTCTGGCTTTGTGTGGAAAAGCAACTGACATCACAATGAATGAGGCTGCTCACTCCTGACATCACAATAAATGAGGCTGCTCACTCATGACATCACAATGAACGGGGGTTGCTCACTCATGCTTTGACTTGGACTTTCTTCTCCACCCTTTCTTTATAATCATCCAAAATACCACCAGTGAAATCAGATGAATTCTCATCACAAAGATTTGTGCAAGCCAACCTTCACACGATGACAGCAGAAATGCTGAAGAAATAAAAGTCAGGCTTGACCTCCCGCTGCCCTGCGTGTGGAATGCATCACCAGGGATGGGACCGCTCTGCTTCTTTTTCTCTATTTGTTTCTTTTACTTTAACTTTAAGGAGGTTAAAAGAGAAATGAATCCAGTCTAAGGACAGATGTTATCTGAATTCTATGGCTGTGAACTCATACATACCCACCAAGACTCCATCCCACGGCCAAAGGAGGTCAATCTCTTAATTGGTCTCGTTGGTTTATTGCCCCCTGTGTCTCCTGTCACCCAAGACTAGCTCTCCGGAGTTTTCTCTTTCACTTATTACTCCTTGATAGCTGGCCTTTGAATAAACAGCTAGAGGCAAAACTAAATCAGTCTTTCCTCAAGGCAGACGTTAACGGTTTGTTTGCCTTTTCCTTTTCATGGTGTGCGTGCTCAGTGTTCTTAGGTCTGCGCTCCTTCGACGCCATTGTGAAGGGGCCAGAGGAGGGCTCCAGGACTCTTCCTCTATCTCTCTCCATCTCAGTTTTTGAGACAAGGCCCTTCCTAGAACCTAAAGCTCAGTTTAGTTAGGCGGCTTGGCCAACAGTCTCCCAGGATCCACCTGCCTCTGTTCACCAGCACGGGTGTTGCAAACACGTGGGGTCACGGCCCCCCCTTACACGGTCACTGGGTGTTTGAACCCGGGTCCTCCCACTTTCACAGCAGGTAGGCTCACCTTCCGGAGCCAGCTTTGCTGCCCCATGTGTTTATTTTAAAATGCATAATAAAAAATGAATAAGTGAGCAAGGGGAACAAGGAGGGTGGGGACAACTTTACAAAACGGAGCTTATTCAGGTTCCAGGCATCTGCCGTCAAGCCCGGTGACCAGAGTTCTATCCCCAGGGCCCGAGTGATGGAAAGAAAGAACTGACTCCTATGAGTTGTCCTCTGATTTCCACACTCACGCCCTCCATGCGCAAGTGCACACTCACACACACAAATATAGTAAAATTTTAGTTGAATTTGTACTTTAAATGCGTTTTTAAATATTTGAGAGACACCCCCTCCCCTGCAAGTTATGATAAAGTCAGGAAGCCAAGCTAACAACCGATGCCTTAAAACTGAGGCCACATGGAGAAGAGACGTTTAGTTCAGACGAGTATTAGCACCATGGAGGAATGTTCAAACGCATCAAACTCCCATGTGAAACTGGCTCTTCAGTGTGTGGATTTCAAAGGACACAGGCCTGCTTAGAGCTTCCAAATTCTGGGCCTGAATCAAGCTTCACCCAAAAGCGCTTCAAAAGCTGCCGATAGCAAAATCCAAATAAAGCCTAAAGTTGAGTGAACTGGAAAGTACCAGTGCCCCTTTCTTCGCATGACAGATGGACCACAGCAACAGGAGATATCAACACTGGAAAGCCTGGACAGAAGTTTCTCCAGAAATTCTCTCTACTGCCTACAACTTTTCTATAAACCTAAAATTACTCGCAAATAAAAATTTTACCGAAGAACAAACAAAAAGCTGCCGTCCAAAACTAGAGTCTCTGGCTTCGTTCTGAAGCTGTGGCTCCTGACAGGCACATAGGGAGAAGCAGGCCCATCTCGAGACTTACTAAAGCAGACACAGCCAAGCAGCGAAACTCTCCATTAAGAGGGAGATTTAATGGAAATGACTACCACGACCAGGGATGTCCAGGCGTTGCTTCCTAAACCTGCTTGTTTTATGTACTCCTGTAGGGCTTTTGGTAAATCAAACTGACATAATTCAGCTCACATTGTGAACACACCCAGGAGGCCTGTGTGTTTAGGAGATGCCAAAGAAGTAGGAGGGGCTTACGTAAAGAGAATGATGGCACTCTTGTGTGCTGGACAAAGTCACTTTTTGGGGATGAAAGTAGCTTTGCCTGAATCGCCTTTGTCCACAGCGCTGGCTTTCAAGCCCTGCCTGTAAAACCTGACCAAGCTTCAGACCGCCACAGCGCTCTCTCCCTTTCGCTCTGCCACACCACTGCATGACTCAGACTGACTGATTCGCTGCTACCATGGCGAGGAGTTCTAATCCCGCAGGTCTGAGCCTTCAGCACAGCAAGCACCTGAGCAACAGGACTGAGTGGACAAGACACGCTTTGGAAAGACGGTAGCTGAAGCAGCAAAGGCGTGACGCTTGCTGCTCCTCACAGAACCTTTCCTGCTGGCTGGCCAGGCACGGCCTTCTCTTCCTCTGATAACAGCATGGCGCACCATAGCCAGATAAGCCAGATCTGTGGTGCTGGTTTGTAACCCATGAAGAAGAAGACGAGACTCTGACCCCAAATGAATAAGAGGGTAGGAAAAAAAAAAACTACAATATTTCATGAGTTAACCGGCGAAGCGCTATGAGTGTGAAACAATAAGAAGATTCTTACGAGCTGCCAAAGCTCTGCATGCCTGGATCTATTGTTCACATCTCTTCCTTGACACAGCCAGTGGCCTAAAGGCTGAAGAGGCAGCACGCGGACAAGGCCTGTCTACACCTCACACTTGCCGTGAAGAGCAAGTCTCCTGAGTCACCAATGCTAGCTATGCTAAAACCGGGCCAGGCGGCTGGCAAATCCAGGTGATTACTGTCTCCCCCTACCCTTTCCCCAGGGGCAAAGGCTCCCGGTACTCACCATAATCAACTCCGGGCCGGCCCATGAAGTGGGCGGAAATCTGTCTCTCGTCCTTTCCGTAGGCGTTCTTGGCCATCAAGGTGTAGTCTCCATTGTTCATGTGGGTGGGGTTGTCCAGCTGGAGGCAGCCGTGGTACTCCGTGTGATTGCTGACGTGTATCTTAGTGCAGATGTATTTGGATTCGTTCAGGATCGCCCCGTTATAGAACCACTGGAGCGCCGGCTTGGGGTTGCCTCTCACAGTGAACGGGATACACCAGTGATGGTCTGAGGTGGGAGATTCCAGAAATGTGATGGTTGGGGCAACTGCATTGAGAGAGAGAGAGGAGAGAGAGTTAATAGCACCAGAGGGCTCAGAATCCTCCCTGCTGGGTTCAGCGTCGAGAAGGGCTTTTATTTAACTATCATGGAGCCTAAGAAAAGCCTCAATCAGTGACTCCGGATAAATCACTGGGAGCATCTGACCAGTCCAAGCCTGACCAGGAGCTTCAGGGAACGATTTACTCCACTCTGCCCCAGCCTCACGCATCACTGCGAGACTGACGGTGGGGAGTGCTCGTTTGATGTCTACTCTGTCTTTGTTCGTGCTCCCCCCCACATCTTAATATTATGTGGATTCATTATAAGACCTAATGAGAGGCACTTTTTTCATTAGCAGTTCTTCCTTAAATAATTAAAATAACTGTAGAAATCACTAAATTTGAAAATGACTTTGGAAATGTTCCCGGACGCTCTGATCTTATGGAACCTTTACTAAAACGTACCAGACTGATCAACGCAGTGGGGGTTGCTGCTGGTGCTGCCGGTTGATCAGCACGGAGTACCAGAACCTGATCGCTTCTGTCGCTGCGGAGCAGCAAACACACTGAGTTACAGTGAGCGTCGATTTCACTAGACTCTAAATGTCCACGTTTTAGTTCTTGAAATGTCTGAGGTCTGCCGTAAGCTTGGAACAACAGCCCGGTGATTATCCGGCTTTAAGCGTATATAGCATCTCATGCTTTGGGGAAGTAAGCGTGGGCAAGGGGTCTCTTTAAACAGTCTGCTCAGAACAAGAGCCAGGGGCTGACAGCATTTCTTAGTTACACACTCACAAAAGCCTGACTATTCTCCTGTGTCACGAACTTGAGCAGCCCACAGACTCCCCCAGTGACAAAGGGGAACACCCGCCGTGAACTCTGCTCTCCTTACGTACAGTGCACAGTGAGGTTCACAGAATCCTGATCTTCTCCCACGAGGTTTTCTGCCACACAAGAGATTTGCTTTCCACTGTCATCAGATGAAATGTTCGTTATCCTTAAGGAGCCCTGAGTGTGGCTCGTTTCATTCTACAAATGAATTAGAAGACAAAAAAAAGTAATATTGATTAGAATTGATCCCAAAATGTCAAGGTCGCTTCCTAAAATGGAGCATGTGTATGTGTGTGTGTGTGTGTGTGTGTGTAACAAAGTTATTCTCTGGTTTCAATCGCTCCATGTCTGAGTTTGCTTTATTCCTGAGTGCTGCCCGCCTTCCTCCAAGGGCGAAGATCACGAGGACTGTCACTGCCTTGCTCAGAATGATACAGAGCACATTTTTAATCTTCCCTCCAATTTGATGTGCACAGATAACTGAAAACTAATCTGTGAGTTAGCTGTATCTAATTAAGGGTAAATAGAAACAAATGACATCAAAATTCATTATAAATGCCCAAGTGTGGGCGTGTAAAACCATAGGTGGTTTTGACAGTTACTGACGATCAGCAACTTGACAATGTAGGGTCGATCGTCTGGGAAGGGAATCTCAGGGAAGAGCTGTCTGGGTCAGGTTAGCTAGTGGAAGATTCTCTTAACCTTAGGGTTAACTACAGTGGGATTATTTACCCCAAAGGTGGTGACCCGTGATGGTAAAAAAGTGTAGGTGTGTCGTACTGCTGTGATTCTGAGCTGATAAGAGGGAAGGCGTTGATGCAAGCACACATCAACTCACTGCCCCTGCTCTGACTGTGGACCCACTATGACCAGCTCCTTCAAGCTCCTGAGGCTGCGACTTCCCAGTTATGACGGACTGTGACCTGGAACTGGGCACCCAGCGAGCCCTTCTCCTTTGAGTTGTGTTTGTCCTTTCATCACAACAACGGGGGAATCTAAGGGAGTGGCCACCAGCGTGTTTAACACGGTCTCCTCACTGTCACGGAGAACAAAACACAAGCCTCACCATGTGCTTGGACACCAAATTTCCAACGTCCCAGTACATCGTGGGGAGTGGGTCACCGGCCACGCTGCAGGAAAGCGTTACGGACTTTCCTTCCTCCACAGTGAGGTTCGGAGCAGCCAGCCGTGCAGATGGCAGACCTACGGAAAAAGCACAGAGAAAACATACACAAAGAGTTACAGCCGGAATCAACATGGCAAGACCCACATTTTCCCAGAAGCCCCCTGCTGCAGCAACTCAGTTAAGTCTAGAAACCCCGTCAGGCCCTAGAGTCTAAGAGAACCACACTGACTAGGAAAACTAGTTTGAAAGTACTTCTCAAGGATCAGACTCAAACTATGACCATGCTGGAATGCTTCAAAGCCAAGTTTGAGTGAATTTTTATGAATTAAATTGACCACTCTGTTAATACTAAATAATGAGAAGTTACATGAATCCTCATCACAATGAAAACCCGTTGGAGGCTGGTCCGATGCTTTATTTTGATGCTAATAACTGGCTCACAAGATCTGCTTATTGCTTGGATAAACCTATCTTGTGTAAACCTGCCTAAGACATCATACCTGATTGGTTGATTAAAGGCCTAAAACCTGGGCAGGGCAGAATGGGGTAGGTGTGGCTACAGTTCCCAAGCTTTGAGAACAAGAGAATCACAGGAAACAGACAGAAAGACAGGGAGAGAGAAGGAAGGAAGACACCATGGGCTAGCATGGAGAGAGAACCACATGGGCCAGGAGGAAGGACTCCAATAATGGTGTGGAAAGGCCCAGATGAAAATAAAAGCAAGTATTTGTAAGATTATGGATGGAAGGAAGCCAAGATAGGAATGGTTAAGGCAGATGGCATTGGATGGGGCCGGGAGGTAGATGGTGAGGTTACTGAGACAGCAGTAGGTGAAATATCTGCCCAGTTCAAGGTAAATAAGGCAATTATAAAATTTAACGGGTGTCTGGATCTTATTATTTGTGATAGCAAGTTAAACAATACTGCCAAAATAATTATGGGGCAAATGATAATAACAAACATTATATAACCCAATGCCAATTTTTATTTTCAGTAACAAAAACATTAAGAATGTATTTGTTGTTAGGAAAAATTATAAACATTACACATGTGTTTTAGCATTTCTGTGGTGTGGGTTTTTATACCTTATATTTCAAGAGCTAGAAAGTTTTTATGTTAATTTGTGTCTTCAGGCATGCACTGCCTTAAACTGCCAAGAATCACAGTCCCTTTTACCTAAAGCAGGGCTTGGAGAATTAACCATGTGTTGGTCCTGCCAATCAAAGCAGCCCCACTCACTCATTCTGAGAGACTGTGTCCACCTCAAAAACCAAGTTTCACAGGACTGTGATGGATCCCTGTATAGAAGCAGCTGGACTGACATAGTTGGTACACAAACCCTTCATTATTAGGCAACCCTCACTGGCCAAGACACTATTCTTTAGTAGTCACACCGGCCAATATTTGTACACAATGTGTCTCATAGTGTTTCAACCACTGGGAGAAGACACCCCAATAAAGTCTGGCTTTCAGCAGTTTCTAAGAGCTCCTTGGAATGACCCTTCCAATAAGCATCCAATAGAGAGGAACGTTGTCTCTTTTGTGTAGTTTCAAAACGAATCATGTTATCCAGAATTTCACAGGGCAGCAAAGCACACAATGACCATAAATTGAAAGCATAGTCTACAAGAACAGGCCTGGATCTTAAACCTCGCTCATGCGAGCTGTGTGACTTAGGTAGCAGGTCAAGGCAGAACACCATTAAAGTTAATGGTGCGATCTGGGTAGCTTCCCAAAAACACGTGTTTTATTTATTTTTCGCGCAACATGTAGTCACGTCATTTAAAGAGTCTATAATCATGTAAAACTTGTCGCTAAAAATAATCAAGCTATTGTGTGAAGAGTGACCTCAGCTGGTCGGCATGGCTTCGTGTTCCCAGGAGACCGAGTTCATCTATTTGCATATCTTCTTTACTATTGATTTCCACCTCCCTAAATATTATGCTTGCTCTCCTATCTGTCGGTTCCTCTGTTGTAGAATTACCTACTGATCTCCCGCCGGGAGAGACCTAGGGACCACTCCCATCTGTGCTCTCCCACCTGCCCACGCCGGACTCAGAACAGATCCTTCTTTGCATCTTTCCACGTGCGCTGAAGGCACGTTATTTAATGAAGACATAAAATTTACCAAGATCTGTAAACCTTACTGAGAGTTGGGCCATCTAAACCCCATTAAATCTACCCAGTTATCTTCAACCATTTTGAGGAGAAGGCAATTCCAATTACTCAGCCCAGTGGAAGGATCATTGGACATTCTCCCAATGTCCAGCTCAGATGAGGGGAAAGAACAGAAATATATATATATATATATATATATATATATATATATATATATATATATATATATATATATATTTTAAATCAGCACATAAACTTATCAAGTTTTCTGTGAAAATTATAGCCTCATGTCTACCCAGATCTCCTCAGGATCTGTTTTAGTCTCTTTATAGAATGGATTCCCATTTTTCTCCCATGGAAAGAGGGTCGCATCACCCGGACCCCACAGAACAGAAAGCATGTTGAGTGTGATGGCCAGCAGGCTTCCAGCAATGACTTCTACAGTGTCACGCTACCCTCATGCACAAGTCACATTTTTCCTTGGTTTTCCCCACGGACGGCTCAGTGACCAACATCCTGAGACCAATGACAGTTACTAAGCATCCCTTTGCTTTCCAGCTAGTAGCTCTTGGTGTCATGTTGGCTCCCATTTTCCTTATATTTACAGATTTATTTACTGATTCTGGGGAGACCTTGGGAGCCAAACTTGTTCTAAAGATGTGTCTTCCCTCCTCATTCCCAATAGTCCCATCCTAATCACAGAGTTTAAAGACATCACTTTGGGTAACTCAACCAAGATGCTTTGAGAAGGGAACTTCATAAGTGTGTCTGTTATTTTAGAAATAACATTAGAGAAATGTTAAAATGGGCTTCAGTAGGCAATGCTACATCATAATTCTAATTATCCCCATAAAGTCTGGTTTAGTCTTTTCTTTTCAAAATTCAGTTGAGATGACTATCAGCCCTGAGGGTGGTCGTTTCTGTACAGTAGGGGTGATAGTAAGATTTTCTGTGTTCTCATTAAGTAGACGATCTCATCTGCTGTGTTATCTTAGGGAGTCCTTACAACCAACCTTGAAGATAAAATTTTGCACTTGTTTAATTAATGAAGTCTGTAAGTGTTGTAAAAGTCAAATACTTTCAAATTTGCCCTAGTCAATGTAGAGCTGGGATCTGAACCCAACATAAAGGGCCTTCACCTCTACAGAACATTGGTCCCCAGACTTGCACACTTCATCTTCCTACAAGACGTTCATATGACGTCATATCCATGATCTGAGAAACTGGTTCATTGGAAAAGAATTCGGTGCCTATTTTGTGAAGGAAGAATGATTCTTCTTATTACAGATTAATCTGTCTCACCCTGTCATAGGACCTTCCAAAGGAATCTGTGCAAAATTGGCCAAGCTTAGATTTTTAAATGTAAAATCTCCCGAAAATGAGTAAGCACCTGCCTCGTGTTAAGTCTACAGCATTGATACGCTGGCCAAGACCCAACAATGGAACAAAACAATCTGTACTTGAAATATCACTTGAGGCTTAATTAGCACAATAAAAATGAATTGGGAAGCACGGATCGCCACGGCGGGATAAAGCACTCGCCAGGCACTACTTCCTGGCTTAATAAGATCTGAAAGCAGCACAAGGACACAGCAAAGCCCAGCAAGGCTTCCAAACTCTTGGAGCACTACCAGTGCTCCAAGCAAACACCCGGCTGATAGCAAACACCAGCCATCTTCCTTCTGCAATGAGAACCTCACGGGAGAGTAAAAAGAGCAAGTGTACACAGAAGGCAGGCCATGCTGACGCTCTTGACCTGAATTTGGTCAGTGCTTACCTATAGGTCATGTCAGCTGGCTTTCCTTGGACCTCAGCTCCCCAGGTCTAAGGGCACAGAGGTACCTCGTCAAACATGCAGTTTCTTTTCCAGGTGGTGGAGGTTGAACCCAGAAGGTTCATATTTCTAACAACCTGCTCATCCCACAGACCATAGTTTGAGGAGAAGGGGTTTAGATAATGGATATTGGACAATTGTTCACTAGGCTTTTTTTTTTACAACTATTATTCTTAAACCCAACAGGGGCCGGAGTAATTATCTCTTCTTCCAAAATTTCCACATAGTGTGTTCTGAGAAATTTTAATTCTTTGAGATGCTTAAATGGGTGTGGTAGAGATGGAGCATGGGATTGAGACAAATGCAAGATTAAAAGTAACAAAGGAGAAAGGAAAAGAGAGCTAAAGAAAACTGTATGTCTGTATGTATTTCCATATAATAGCCCTCAGAAGTCTTTCTACGAAGAACATAAAACATGTAGCTACGGTTGCTCCTATGTCCCCTCAGATGATTTTTTTTGAACTGTGATTTTGTTACTTTCTTTGGAGTAGCTAGACACAATATAAAATATGTAAATCCAGTTTAAGATATTTAAATCCAGATGCCAAATACTTTTAAAGATACCGTTCATTTTGACGATAGCAAATAACATGAATAGCTAACATCTATTTGATCCTTATTAACATTAATTAATATTATAATGTTAAATATACAATTAATTACAGTGTTCATTAATTAATTCTGTATTAATGTGCTGGACTCCATCTTAAATGCTTCCATGTACTCCCTCTATCGTCACTCCAAATCTCCAAGAATACATTAGTATCTATATGTCCCAGTGAAAAAACTAAAGCTGAGCGAATGTTGAAATTAGACAGGTGCTGTATTAGTCCTAGTCTGACCTGCATCTCTGCCCAAGGGTTTCACCAGAGCCTGACTGGCTGTCTCTTAGCTGAGGTCTTCCAGGCTCTGCTCCAACCCATAATGGGTACATGACTCTGAGGACCTGAATAAGGTTCTCGGCCACTTGCCCAAAATACACAGGCTGCACCTTTCTGATAAATGATCACATCAAGTCTCTGCCCATTCGGATTATCAGAAAGGTCACAGTCATGATGGTGTGTTTTGTCAATTTGTTCAGTAATTCTGAGCTCTTTTTATTTGATGTTGAGTCATCATTCATGT